CAAATGTAACATATTGAGCATTGATCGTCAATTTTGAGCAACAGTTTCAATTCAAGATCACTGACCATGTTAAACGTGCGAACGCTGTAAGGCTACGGCAAAAGCCGTTGAGCTGAGAGGGTAAAAGCAGCCATGGTGGTGTAACGGATAGCGCACTAGCCCTAGGGTTCGACTCCCGCCTGGGGTTCGACTTTTGCCTTCACCATCAGCATTCTTGTGATAACTTTCGGAACGCGAACTGCGGCGTTAAACAGCAGTTATCATAACAAAAATAACGATAGACTTATGGTGATTCCGAGGACGAAGATGGCTCAGTGACTCACGAGGACCCACCCTATTTGAACAGTACACAGTCCAGCTCCTCTACGAGAAGTTGGAGAGTAGTGTGAAAGTCGTTTCGGACTCCACCCTGGCCGCCACACATTCCATACGCCTGAGCATGGCTAAACGCGCTAAATATCCGCACCTTTTGACGCAGCTGTACAGGCATTCAGCGCTAGAGAACAACCGGAAGTGATGGGACGTAGAATAGGCTGCGTTTATACTTTGCGGCAGATACGTCAGCGTGGTTAGGCTGCGTTTATACTTTGCGGCAGCGTAGCGTAGCGCTTCCAGCGTACGCCAGCGGCAGTGCCGGGGAAAGGATAGATATCGATCTAGCTTCACCAGCGTCACCAGCGTACGCTAGCGGCACGCCAGCGCTAGCGCACGCTGGCGTAGCGAGGGCACGGGAAGCATAGCTATCGATCTAGCTTCACCAGCGTTTCTCGAGCGTTTCTCCAGCGGCACCAGCGTTTTGCTAGCGCTTGCAGCGGCGGAATCGGGTATTGTAGAGACTATGTGGCCGTCAGAGACGCAGAATCGATGTGTATTGTAGAGACTATGTGGCCGTCAGAGACGCGGAATCGATGTGTATTGTAGAGACTGAGGGCGAGTGAGAGACGCGCAATCGATGTGTTTTGTACCCTCCAGCTCTCCCATAGTCTCTACTCCCCTGCCGCTGCAAACGCTAGCAAAACGCTGGTGAAACGCTGGAGAAACGCTGGCGTAACGCTAGCGTGACGCTGGGAACGCTAGATCGATATCCATCCTCTCCCGGCACTGCTGTCTCCAGCACTGCCGCTGACGTACGCTGGAAGCGCTACGCTACGCTGCCGCAAAGTATAAACGCAGCCTTAGCGTACGCTAGCGCTTCCAGCGTTCGGCAGCGGCAGTGGCAAGGGAAGGATGGATATCGATCTAGCGTCACCAGCGTACGCTAGCGTAGCGAGGGCAAGGAAAGCATAGGTATCGATTTAGCGTTTTCAGGTATATATGTATATGTATGTTATATGTAATATATAGGGTTTGGGTTTTCTCTAAAGGGTTTGGCGATCTAGGCTCAGCCCCTTGACCACGCCCACTTGCTTTTTGCGGAATTTTGATATTTTTTGAAATTTTTGCGTTTTTGGCCTGCTACGTGAAGCCCCGCCCACTGTGAGAGGCTCCGCCCACTCCGAAGAAGCCCCGCCCACTTTTCAAAAATGGTGCAGAATCGGCAGTATAGAGTCTTGGCTTGCATGCTAGGGTATTGTCCGTCACTCGGAACAAATAAATCAGGCAAGTTTGTAAGGCTAGAGTATTCTAGCGTTACGCTAGCGTACGCTGGTGACGCTAGATCGATATGCATCCTCCCCTCGCCACTGCCGCTGCCGAACGCTGGAAACGCTAGCGTACGCTGCCGCAAAGTATAAACGCAGCCTTAGCTGTCAAGTATGCCGTGAAAGGACGACGCCAAGCCTAAGAAGACTGCCTCATCTGAATAAACTCGCATCCGCTCAAAAATGGCCAACATAAAATAAGTTGTACTTTAATTCAGTTTTCCTCATATGTGCAGTTGCAGGTCTTGCATTCTTCACCACTTCGAACTTTTCGTTATCCATAGCGTCATAGTCCTAAGAAATATCAGCACAACCTTCAACATTATCCACAGTTCGCCACATTCAACCATCTTATGACAAAAAGAAAACTGCATCCTATAAAACCTTGGGAACTTACGCGCTGTTCCACGCAATCTTTTCCTGAAAAAAAATTGGAATAATTCAAAGGACGAAGGT